CCCCAAAACCCCAAAACCCCAAAACCCCAAAACCCCTTTTTGGTTTTTTAGATTTAAATTTTAATATATTCCAAGAACATGGACCGTCCGAACAAGTCGAGTGAAAACCAAGGTGTTATAGAGCCTGAACCCAAAGATTATATTCAAGAAGAACTACTTAACAGAATGGATAGAGTGGAAAATAGGTTAGAAAAATTCTACTCACGTCTCTCAGGAGTTGATGGGCAAGTTGACTCTGTAGACAACCGCATGGCTGTTGTCATGAGAGAAATTGACCTTCTCCATGACAAACTGGAGGGGAAAGCCTCAAAACAAATGGTTGGAGTCATTGACTCTAGGTATGTTACAATTGTAAATATAGATTTCAACTCTATGCTGAAGTAAAAGAATTCAACGCACTTAAATAAAACCTGACTTGATTTTGCTAAGAAGGAAAAGGTAACCAGCTCTTGTATAACTTTAGGTTGCAGAATGCGAGCAGAAAATTGACACACTACAAGAATCTATTAAGGAGTGTGCCAAGACATCAGAGGTCTACGATACTAAAGAGTACATCATGAACTTTTTCAAGAAGGAATTCAAAGAATGTGTTAAAAAGAGGGAATTACACACCTCTCAAACTGCTATCAACAAGGCTATCGAGAAGCTAAGAGTTGAAATTAAGGAAGAGATGTCAGTCTTTGATACTTTCAAGGTAGCTTTCCTTATTAAATTTTAGAAAAACTTAGACTTGTTTAAACGTAATCTCAAGGAGGATAAACTTGACCTTGAGGCTAAAATAAATACTGTCTGGGATAACTTCAACAATTACTGTGATTTCAATCATTTTGACAATTACAAAGCCAGTATTAAGCCAATGCTCAGAGCTTGTGAGCTGAGAGTTGACAAATACGGTGTTGAAAACGAGAAATGTGTCAAGATAATTCAGAGATTTGATGAGGTTTTATGCCAAAAAGCCTCTAAATTTAACTTTGGCCAACTTGAAAAAGACATGAAAAACTATCTTAAAGCTGAAGAATTTAATGAGAAATTTCTTGAAGTTAAGAAAGAATTGAGAAATTTTGAGGTGGAAAGGATGAAATTCAATTCCAAAATCGATGAAATCGGCTCAAGTGTCAAACAAATGATCGCCAATAGTATCATAAAAATATCCAAAGAAGCCAAAAATCAACTGATAGACGCCTTAGGAGGAAAACCTGTAGAGCCAGGAGAACTGATATCTCTACTCAAACTCAAAGCAAATGTTGAAGTTGTTGAAGACATTCAAATCAATAAAGCAGATAAGGCTCAAATAGAGTCAACTACATCTGTTCTTGAGATATTCCATAGCCAGATTACCCATTTGTGTATGATCTTAAAGGATTTCCTGAAGCTTCACATCTCTCAAATGACAAAGGAAGATCAGGCCACTAAGAAGAAAATAGAGTAACATTCTTATTAAAAATAGTTATTATTACAAATACGCATGAACTTTGTCCAAATGGATCAGAACAAACGAGGAGCAGGAAGCTTTCAAGGCTCAAGAGGAGGAGTCACCAAGAGAGGTCAAGAGGAGTGCCACTGAAAACAAGGATCGAATTGATAATTTCTTGTACTTTTTGGTTAATGATTAATAGGTTTAAATCCACCTCTAATAAGTACCTGTTTTAATCATTAGTAGGCCAATCCATATTAGACCACTTACCTCAACCTCGAATAGGAAGGAAGATAATATCAAATATGATTCTACTGAGAAGATATCTACAGATAACCTCGATCTCTCAATCTTTGAGGATATGAAAAAGAGAAGGCTACAATCAGCCTCAAGTCGAAGAATCTCTCTTGAAAGAGTGAGAAACCAAGATAGGGACCTTAAAATAAGCATCAATAGAGACCCAAGAGACCTTGGGCATCACAATTCACTTATGGATACCATGGGGAGTACATTTTTTCTAACCCATAGACCAAATTCCTGAAAGTCAGCCTGTTAAAATTAAGGCCAACACTAGTTTTAACCCAGTGAATTTCACCAAGTAACTATCTTATGAGATTTTTAGAATATAAAAGCTCAACGTATTTCCCAGAAAGGACGTAAGATCATGACTACAAATGTTAAAAAATTCAATCATTCAAGGTAAGGACTCATTGTGACACTTAGGCTGAGCTACACAAGCAAGAACACCACGATGAGGTATAAGAAGAGGACTAGCCCTAGTCCTAGTTCATTAATGTAGATAAATTATTAGTAAACTTTTCTCAACTGCAGGTAAAGGAATTGGGGTTTTGGGGTTTTGGGGTTTTGGGG